CGTTTTTCCACCCTCCAGGGACACCAATTTATCCCTTTACTGCAGTAGATGGAATCATGAACTCGGGTCTTCTCACTCTTGCAAAGAATTACCTTTTTCAATGAATGCTGGTTCATATTTTTTAAAAGTGAGCAGCGATTATTTTTTTCAGTCAGAGCACAACATTTGCTAATTTGGATGTTATTTAAACCACTTGGTATTTTTTATTATGGCTACTGGTAAGTGATGTCCTCCTGGCTGCAGTACCACGGTTCTCAGATAAATCTGTGCTTGTGCAGGACTTTGAAAATAGATTTAGTGCTTTATTTTTACCACAGTGACTATTTTTCAGTGCTTTGGGAGCAACAATCTTCAAGGATCCTCATGAGACCACAAGAACTACCTTAATTTTTTATAAACATTCTTTGCTGCTATTTTAAGAACACGTTTCAACGTGTAGCTGCTTTTTTATACAAGGCAGGAACACACCATCCCTGCCACCATTTCTTTTATTAAGGTATAAGCTTTTTAATTTTTCAAACCTTCAGTTTGTGACAGTTCAGCCTCACATAATTTTATCTGCAAACATGAAAATCTTCCTTTCAAAAGACAGAGTAGAAAGAGACTGTTCCAGGGAGATTCTGTGTGGTAAAATGTGTCATCTTTAGGATGATATTTTGAATTTGTGCAGGTATTTCTTAAGTATTTGGTCTAACATCTGAACACTAAGGCACATTGCATGTCAAACTCTTCAAAGGAACTGGTCTCAGTTCAAGAATAAAACTAAAAGGCAAGAAATTGAGGCAAGGAAGAAAAGAGGTGGGTGTTTTCAGATGAAGTGAGAAGATATGTGACAGAATCCACTACAGTTATATTTTTAAGAGGCAGTCTTATCCCTAAATTATGCCACCTGCAGAAAAATCTGTGGATAAAAATACTATGTAAAATAGTCACAACTATTTATATTAACTCAGCACTTTGTTATTTTCTTCATTTCAGGAGAAGAAAGGGAAGTTGTAAGAAGCTCAAGGTACTGTCTAGAGTCTAATAGGAGAATTAACAGTGAACAATAGAGAGTTGCTTATTTATTTTCACATGTTAAATATTTTAAAAGTTAACTTTTCAGGCCCGTTTCTGCTCAGTTTATTTATTTGTTCCAATGTATTGGTGTGTTTGCAGCGGGGGGGGGGGGGATTTTACCCAGCTATTCCTTTTTTTGAGATAACCAAGTGCCACAAATAAGGAATATTTATGACACTGAAGAATATCAATTGCAGTGGTGCTTGGCCATAATATTAAACTCATTATTTATATTTTTAGCAAACAGCTAGAATAGTATTATGGTCATTTTTAATGGATTCTATCCATTTGTTACACCTGTAACATGGGACTGTTTCTCATCCATAAACAGGCAGAGCAGTTTCTCTTCAAAACTAGTTTTTAAGCTAAAAATGTAAAGGTGTTCCTTCAGTGCAGTCACTGTCCAACTGATACAGTTTCACTGGCTGTAACTACAGTTGTTACAATAAAACTTAAGAAAACGTTTTCTTTTTGATTACTTGTCATTATTTGAATAATTCCTTAAACCTTTGTAGTTGTGAGATAGAAGAAACATTAACTTTCCAAAAGCAATCCAAAAGGTTAATGAACACCTCTGGAAAACTTGCAGATCGGTTATTCATTGAATAGTAGAGAAGCAGTTTAAATCTTAATTTTTAATTATATGTGGTACATGAGCCAAGAATTTAAAGGATCATTAGCGACAGAGAAGAGGTTAAGGGGATATATGTTGTTCTAGGATTTATACGCTGCCTATAAACTAAGCAAAACGGCTCATATGAGCTATTTAACTGACGTTTAACCACACTAAATCTTTATAAATTAACATATATAACAATATATGTTATTAACAATAACGGTCGTTCTGTGAATTAGTGGGTTTCATCTCAGCTGTGCGTGGTTTCCCCACCGGGAGAAGCCGCGGCGGCTCCGTGGTGTCCCTCCCTAGCTCAGGTTCCTGCAGTGCGAGGGCCCGCTGGGGTTGTAGCTGGGGTGGAAGTCCATGTGCTCGTAGGCGGTGATGAAGGTGTCGGGGCCCGTGCAGTAGCTCTTCTCCAGCGAGGTGTTGAGGCTGTTGTTCCTGTACATGCCAGCCTTGCCCAGATGATCCGAAAACTTGTGCGAGATGACGCGGAAGCAGGTCTGGGGAGGGGCGAGAAAAGAAGAGAGATGTTTAAAATTGCCCACAGCGAAGTTCGGATGCAAAGTTGGGTTTCAGCTGCCGGGGACGCCGCGGAGGGCAAAGCTTGGCCGTGCTGACCCCGAGTTCCCCCCCGGGGGACCCTCCATCACCTACCGGCAGCTCGTGCACCGTGGGGGCCCTGCTGCCGTAGGTCTGGTTGGTGGTGCGGAACCGGGGGTGCGTCGCCGGCTGCCTGCGGGGCGAGAGCACAGGGTAGGTGAGGGGGGCACGGGGGGCTCCGGGGGGCCCGCCCCGAGCTCCCCCGCTCACCCGTAGCCGCGGTAAAAGGCGGGCTGTCGGAAGCGGCCGGGCAGCCCGGGGTCGGGGCCGGACATGGCTCAGGGCACTCACTGAGCGTTGCTCGGCGACGGGACGCGATCGCGCCGCGCTCCGCCCCGGGGAGGGCGCGGGGCCCGCCCCGCCCTGCAGGAAGCGGAAAGCGCCGCTGACCTTCCTCATCCTCCTCCTGCTCCCGCTCCTGCTGCTGCCCCGCGGTGCCCTCGGAGCATGGCGGTGCCGCGGCTCCTGCGGGCAGGTGAGCGGGCGCTGCCCAGCCCCGCCCGGTCCGCCCCGGCCCGCCCGTGTGACCCCCGTGTTTCTCTCCCGCAGCGGCCCCGCGGCTCTACAGCACCGTCCTGGTACCGGCCTCGGCCCCGGCCACGGCCCCGGCGGCGACCCAGCCCAGCGGTGAGTGTTTTCCCTCCCCGGGTCCAGGCCAGGAGCGATGCCCGTGCAGGTATCGCCTCATTGCAGCAGGTGGTCGTGGGTGCATCGGGGTCCTTTCTGCAGTCCCAGCTCGTCCCCCAAAACACCAGAGGGAGCAGTGATTGATTGTTTCCCTTCTCTCAGCTGCGGATGACAAGCTGCTGTCAGAGCCTCTCAGCCACCCCGACTTCTTCAACGTGAAGGAGCTCTTCACCCTGAAAGATCTCTTTGATGCTCGGGTGCACCTGGGCCACAAAAAGGGCTGTCGGCACAGGTGAGTGGAATTATTTGATCATCCATCAGGAGTGCTTCCATAAACAATGTTTGCTTTGGGGGCTGCACTAGATTGGTCTGAGCCTGGAACTGCCCACACAGAGCAGATTACAGGGACCCCCTGCAATGTGGGCACCGAGGGGGGGTGAGACCCACAGCCCCCCAAGCCCAGCTGGAACAGACACTGGGCACTCTCTGCAGAGAGCACCTCTGGTGTCAACCGAGAGCTGGAGTGGGGGAAAGGAAGGTTCCTGTGCAGCCACTCCACATCCAGAAGCGCTCGGTGCCCGCACGCCTCGTCCCCGTGCCCCTGTGCCGCCCTCCCTCTGCCCCCGCAGGTTCATGGAGCCCTACATCTTCGGCTGCCGGCTGGATCAGGACATCATCGACCTGGAGCAGACCATGCAGCACCTGCAGCTGGCCCTCAACTTCACGGCCCACATCGCCTACCGCAAGGGCATCATCCTCTTCATCAGCCGCAAGCGCCAGTTCTGCCACCTGGTGGAGTGCACGGCGCGGGCCTGCGGCGAGTACGCGCACACGCGCTACTGGCAGGGCGGGCTCCTCACCAACGCCCACATCCAGTTTGGCCCCGGCGTCCGCCTGCCCGACCTCATCGTCTTCCTCAGCAGCCTCAACAACGTCTTCCAGACGCACGTGGCCGTGCGGGACGCCGCCAAGATGAACATCCCCACGGTGGGCGTGGTGGACACGAACTGCAACCCCTCCCTGATCACCTACCCGATCCCCGGCAACGACGACAGCCCCTCAGCCATGGAGCTCTACTGCAAGCTCTTCAGGATGACCATCATCCGCGCCAAGGACAAGAGGCGGCAGAGCGAGGCCGTCGAGGAGCTGCGGAAGAAAGCCGAGGGCAATTAGAGCCCCCAAGACGGGCTCAGTGCTTCAGGGATGGGCCTCCTGCTCCAGTTCCACAGGACTGGCTCTGCACTCGGAGCACCGGTTTGTGGCAGGGCTGGGCTGGCTGTGGAAGGGACCCCCCAGCTCTGCTGTGCACAGAGATCCCGTGGTGGTCACAGCCACAGTCCCCAGCTCAAATTGCTCCCTCCAGAGCTGTGCAGGGAAAATGGAGCCAGGCCAGACCTTGCCCCATTCCTTGGGTTTGTCCCTGTTGCAAGGAGGTGCCGATGTCCTGTGGCCTTCCCGTTCCTGAGCTCGTGATCTCACCTGAAACCAGTTGTATCTCGCGCCTCTTCTTAACAAATAAAGGGGTTTATCCCTCTGATCCTTTTTGTTTCTTCCGTGGTGAGATGGGAAGGGAAGTCTGCAATGCCAGGGAAGTCAAGGCAATGGGAGGGAAAGGGATGAAGGATGTCCCCAAGCTGGGGACATTGCAGGGTGGCTGGTGCATTGCAGGGCTGGAGGGGCCACAATGGGGGTTGGAGGGTCCCCGCTGGCTGGTACATCACAGAATTGAAGGATCTCCAGTGGCTGGTACATCACGGGGCTGGAGGGTCCGTGCTTTGTCCCAGGACATGCTCAGAGCCAAACCACGGGAAGCAGGGACTCCCGAAGCAGCTGAGAAAAGGGATACCCATCCCCTAGTACGCCTCTTGCCTCCGTGGGAGGCCCTAGGGCAGTCTTGCAGCGTGGGGAAGAGCCCTGAGCAGGGCCCTCCGTCCCTTGCCCGTGTCCCCCTTCCGTGTCCCCGGTCCCTGCTTTGAGTCCTCCCGTCCAACAGGGGGCGCTCGCGGGCGCGAAAGCACCGCGCAGGCCCTTCCGTTCCCGGCCTATATAAGCGGGAGGCGGGCACTGCATCGTCCTTTTGGCGGGCGCGGAGCGGAGCATGCGGAGCTTCGGTGGTCCCTCAGCGGGACCAGGAATGGGAGCGGGACCGGCCCTTCCCGGCCTGGTCATGGCGAAACTGAGGGGCCCCTCGGTGGCGGGAAGCCGGTGCTGGTCGAGGAGAGCCCACCCGGCCAGGGCCACGCTGCCCTTCCCGCGCCATGTTGTGGCGAAGCTCCCTGAGGGCCGGTCCCGCTTCCCCTCGGCCCTGAGCGGCCCCAGATGGGGGACGTGAGGGGGAGAGTGAAGGTAAGGCGGGTCCCCGCTCAGCTGGACCCATCCTGGAGGGGCCGCGGTTCCCCCGGGGCTCCGGGGGCTCCAGGCGCTGCCACGTGCGCTGTAAATCCGGTATATCTTCAACTCGTGTATGGGAATGGGCTAGGGCTATTTTATATATATGTGTATGTATATATATACATACACACAAACACGTATCTGAATACAGCTGTATATATTTTAATATATACATTTAATATAAATTTCAATATATGCATTTAATATATATTTTAATATATACTCCGCCTCCGAGGAGGGGAAGAAAATCTAGGGCTACCGCCTATTTAGGTTTTCAGGAAAATATTTTTTGAAGATTCAAGTAGCTGAAATTAATCTTTGGCTGATATTATGTTTTTTTAAATTATGTTTTAAATCTCTGGTGTTCAGTTAAACGGTGCGTTTCGCCAAAAAAAAAGGTGATAATGTAGTTTGCTTAACACTTGTGTGGTATTAACTGCATGCTTTATTTGTCTTTTTTCAGCCCATCAGCAGGCAAAAAATGAAGGGGCAAAGATTGTGTGTCTTCAGAAAAGAAGGGTGATGCTTCACACAGAGGCTACCCACCAAATGCCTTTGTAACACTGCTTTCCAAGAGGTGATAGAATCTTCTTAAAAATACCATAAAATCATGGAATAGTTTGGATTGGAAGGGAACTTAAAACTCATCTCACTGAACCCCCTGCCACGGGCGGGGACACCTTCCACTAGACCAGGTTGCTCATCCAGCCTGGCCTCAAACGCTTCCAGGGATGGGACATCCACCCACAATTGCATTTTCTTCAGTCTTTATGCTTTTGGTTTTGGGATTTTTTTTATTTCCCAAGCTGCCACTGGCGTTGCGGAGATGGCTGCTGTGGCATCTTTGTGTCAAGACGTGGCGAGAGAGACAGGCTGTGTTCTACGCTCGTTTGCTCTGCAGCCCGTGAGCACTCAGAGTGATTGACAGCCTGACATCATTAATAAACCAGCTGCTTCCGAGGAGACTGGTGAAAAACTCACTTTTGGTTGCCCTGAGTGTGAGATCTGTGTGTAGCACGATGGGAAGTTGTTCTGTTTGACCTGTAGTGGATGTGCTGCAGAGAGGCTGCATGTGGCTTTATGATTATATAGCCTTGAAAAACAGATCCTGTGGGTACAATGTTGTAGAAGAATGAGTTAAAATTGTTAGTCTAAAGCCATGTGGTGAGTTGGTGACATCACTGGGAGCATGGCCTGGGAGTCACCAACCCTATTTCTATCCAAAAACATTCCTCTGCTATGCGTTTATTTCTTTCAAGTTCTTGTCATCAGTGAAATAGTAATTATATAACCAGGCTTTGAAGTGTGTCTAAACCCTGTATATATTTTTTTTCCATGTGTTTTCCAGACAAAGCCACATGACTGGGAGAGCAGGAGGTGTCCCAGATCCGAGGTGAGCCACAGCAGTGTGTGTTCCTCACACAGCCCTGCCCCATCTCGTGTTGCAGGCGTGGCTGCAGTGCCACGTCTGTGTCAATCGGTGGCAGAGAGGAACAGGAGACTCCTTCCCTGGTGCTCTGACCCCTGTGAGCTCCCAGGATTGCTCAACAACCTGACATTTATTGCTTTTCCTGTTTGACTTTTTTTTTTTTCCCTTTAATGTAAATCTGAAATGGTGAAGGGTGGACAGGGCACAGCAGCTGTTTTACTAAAACTGTGTTAAAACCTAATTCAGATTTCTTTTATTGCTTTAGAAATCCACCAAATGGTTTGGGTTGGAAGGGACTTTAAAGCTCATCTCATTCCACCCCCTCCATGGGCAGGGACACCTTCCACTGTCCCAGGTTGCTCCAAGCCCCATCCAACCTGGCCTTGGACACTTCCAGGGTTGGGGCAGCCACAGCTTCTCTGGGCAAACTGTGCCAGGGCCTCCCCACCCTCACAGGGGAGGATTTCTTCCCAATATCTCATCTAAACTTCCCCCCTTTCAGTTTAAAGCCATTTCCCCCTTGTCCTATCACTAGATGCTCTTGTGAGGAATGGCAAATTGTAGTATTATCTATTCCAATAATCCTGAGTCCTTGGAGATTTGCTCTCTGTTGATCTCATTAGAGGTCAGAGATCAGAGATGAGTTGCTTGATGTTGTTTCCACATTTAACTCTCTCTCCAGAGAATCAGCAGAAGGTGGAGCACAATTCCTTTGAAGAGCAGTTAAAATGATGTCAGTTTTAACTGCATCAGGGGAAGGTCCTTCCTCATTTTTACAAGGGCAAGTAGAAGTGACAGCTCTGTTCCTGAATTCTATTTTTACTCCTTCCTGGCCTTTGAGATATTCTTGATTGCTGCCTGTGAAAGGGCACCTCGAGCTGTGCAGGGTTTGGCATTGTGCAGCTGTCAAGAACTGTACCTGGGAGTGGAGGAGATGAGGGAAACAGGCACTTAAACTTTGTTTCCAAAACATGGGCAGGGTGTGGATTTAGCACAGGGAGGAAATTACACCTGGAGTAAATTTAATCAGAAGATGCAATCAGGAATCTTCTGAAATGTGGCTTCATAATCATGCTTGCTTTTGGGGGGGAGAAACACAAAATCAGCTCAATCCTTTACAAAAAAAAACCAAACTGAGGATGTTTTTCCTTCTCACAGTTCCTTTCAAGAGCAGAGCAGAGTTCTGGAATGTTCCTCAAATGTCAAAGGTGGGTGTTGGGTCATTTGTCAACGTGTTACCAAAGTGAGTGGAAAGAAACCCTTCTGTTGGTACATCTTGTCCTGCTGAACTTCTTGCAGGACATGGACAAAAAAAAATTAAAATGCTACTAAAACATTCTTGCAGGAAAAAAACTTAAAATTCAGTATTTTTTCATTTATTTTTGCTGGCAAACCTCTATTTTGGGTAAAGCACTTTCAGGTTCTGCTAATGCAGGCAGTTTTGTGAGCAATCTTTAACACCTCTGATTGACACTTATTTCAGTTCCTCAAACTGCCTTTCTCAGCTCCCAAAGTGCCTCCTTTCAGGGGCAGCTCTGTCAGGACAAGAGCTTAAACTTTTATGTGCCTGAAGAGTCTCAAAACAGGCTCTGGTGCTGCTGACACAAAACTGCTGCAATCATGTTTGTGTCACAGACGTGCAAAATGAGGAGATGATCTCTTAGAGAGGTAATTGAGAAAGAAATAAAAATACTGATTTTGGTAATCCAGGGAAAACTTTAATGCTGAAACCTGGAAGTCTTTTGAAATCCTTCAGCAGTGATTTCAAGTGCAGCAGTGCTTTGCCCTGTTTCCCAAGACAAGATCTCACTTCCCCATGCATCATGTTCTGGCTGGTAAAACATCAGACAAGAAGCAAAAATGTAATTTATTGAGCACAGTATGAGTTTTTAGTTTGGTTTTTTTTGTGTGTTTATTTTCTGGCACGATGGCAAAGGAATCTCCAAGGAGGGAGCACAGGTATCCTGTATGCAGATAGTTCTGTGTGTCACTGTACTTCCTTGGGTGACATGGGGCACATGAACCTGTTCTGGGAACGAGTGGGGAGAGGAGTTCTGACCACACAGAGATTGTGGAACTGAGGCTTTGCAGCTTTGACAGACTCTGGCAGAGCTAAACGGTGGGAAACCTCATTAAATGGGCATTAAGGAGGGCCAAAGGTGCTGCAGAGCCTGCAGGTTGTTCTGGCTGCAAAGTGAGACCTTTAATTGGGAAGAGTCGCTGCCTCCAGCAGTGGCTTTGGAAAAGAATGCTAATCAGGTTGGGGGGAGATGGTTATGCCTTGGGATGTGACTCTTCTGTTTAAATTTCCTGACTTCTTTCAACCCTAAAATACATGTTTGGGGTTTTTCATCAGGCTTTACTCACATCAGGGGTCCTGGATGGGCCATGAGTGCTAATGAGTGTCTGCAGAACTTCCCTGTGTGAGGCACAGGATAACTCTGAACATTTTCCTGGTAGCACTTGCTGTGAACTGCCTTCCCCAGCCTCAACAGCGCTCCTGGGCCAAGAGTTTGGCTTTACTGAAAGAATACCTGGCTCTCCACTGTGGAAAAGAGAAATGTTTTGTATTAAGATGGTTTTGAGAGAAATTAAAAATGTCTCAGCACATAACTTAGCCCTTCATCATCTAAGAATGGTTTATGTCATGGCTTTGAACACTGGAAGAAGCCCAGCTTTTCCTTCCCTGCACTATTAATAGTTTGGCTCTGCCCTGAGGTTGGCAAACTCAGCTTGGGTTTTTCGGGAGTGAAGGAATAATCCAGAGCAGGCTGCAGCTATCCTGCTCTTCAGTTAGCCCTTCCTAAACTCACCCAAGTGCCCTGTGTGCCCAGACAGATATTTTTCCAAAAGCTTTCTGTTGAAATGGTGAAGAATTTATCCTAAATTGGTGCCATCTGCTTCTGTCACTGCTGTGGGTCCTGAGCCACACAGATATCCAGGCAGGGAATCCAGGCAATGGGATTTGAGGTGTTCCTGTGGTTCTGGACTGAAGGAAATCCTTTTCTAAAAATAACCTTCTGAACGCTCATAACTGAGCCCTTCTAATGACTGCCCTAACGTTTGGGTTCATTTTATGAAGCTTTTTTTATTTCACATCTGGGATGTAAAAAATCTTTGGACAATTCCAAGACAAACAATGGCAGCAGAGTCTGGATGACAGGAGTTAATTAGCTCCTTAGTATTCACATTATTTCTCCCTTTTCCTGGCTGTATTAGAATTTGTCTGACATCCTGGGCCCTTTTTTTTTATTTGCAGGTCATGGCCTGAGTTTCAAAATTCCTAAGAAAAATAGCAACAGCAAAAAAAGCAATTGGCAGTGTCTGCATGTGAAGATTCGTGGATTCCTCAAAAGCTGATCATCTGTGTTTTCTCTGCATGGCTAAGAAGGATTTTTTAAAAATAAAACTAAATAAAGATGCCACCTACCATAAGTCTGAATGGGGCTTGTGTAGTTGTAGCACCCCAAGTAACACTATTTTTTTAACCATTCTAGGATTTAAGACTTCTGTTTGTAGATCTGGGAGCTGGGATGGTTTTGTACTTCTGCAATTAAAGGTATTTCTTACCTCCAACCCCTTGAGCACAAATCTGTGCTGCAGAAGCAGCAGCATCCAGTGAGATCAGATTATCAGTGTTTGTGTTCTGGCTTTTTATTCCAGCCTCTGTGGGAAATCTGGAGGAGGTTTGACTGTAAAATAGCTTTGCCTTTACTCATTCTCTCCTATATTCCTGTGTAGCTTGTAAACCATGAGCACTGCAAAGAAAGACTTGGTGCTTTTCATTAGGGATGAGCAAAACTGTGCTTTGGGGTTTGTGAGTCATCAGTGATCCCTGGGAGTGTCCAGTGCTGTGGGATATATGGATCAATGATGGTGATGGGACAAGTTGTTGTCAGAAGTGTTTATTTCAATAAATCTTGTCAGGTACAGGGGCTGCCTCTCCTGGATCTTCACCATAAATACTTAAAAATTCTGATATTGAGGGGAAAACCCTTCCTTTTCCAGGAAGTGCTTTAACACTGCTTTGGGGGAAAGGAGCAGCAGGGATTTAGTGGGAATATCTGGATAAAATTTACCAGTAAATAAGAGAGGGGAAGGTGAGAAATGGCTTCTCTGATGACCTGAGGAGGGCACTTGCCATGGCTGGGTGTTGGATTCCTTTGCTAATAGCAGAAGGAAATTAATTTGCCAGTGGAGCTGGTTGCCATGGGGATGCAGGACAATGGATGAGCTGCAGTGGCTCTGTGGAGCTTCATTACTGAATTCCAGTGAATTCCAGCCCTGCCCACGTGCTCCCTCCTGTGCAGGTGAACCCACACCTTACATAGGGCCCTGCTCACCTTGGCAGCGTCTGTACCTGAGCCAGGGTGACTCAAGGGGCTGAGGATTGTCACCCTCCAAACACAGAAACTTTGGGAGTGCTCAGCCTTTCCATGGATAAATTGCACTGCAGAGGCCACTGCTCAGCAGGGAGTGAGCTCTGTGCTGGATACAGGGCCCTGCTGACCCCATAAACACCAGTGCGAGGTGATGAGGATCTAACACAAGGAAATCCTGGTTTCTCTCCTCAGAGGGCTCCTAAATGTGTAGCCACAGCTCTGCTGATCACATTCCCAGGTGATACAGACTGTCAGGTGTGGTTTTAATTGGGATTGTACATCAGCTGCACACTCCACTGAGGAATTGTTGGCAGGAGAACCACTGTGTGGCCCAGCAGCATGGCTGTGCTGGGAACAGAGCAGCCTTGGGGGAGTTTATAAAAGCTCTTCCTCCCTACCCACAGTTTTAAGATTGCTATAATTGGGCATTTAAAGGAAACTGCTATAGTTAGAGCCCTGGTAGTACATACACAGCCAAACAAATGTCTTGAGACCTGCTGAAAGCTTGCCTGGAAATTCACTTTAATAACAAGAGAAGCACTGGATTATTCTGGTATTAACCTTCAACCTCTGCAGGGCAAGCCCAGCTTAGTTTTAGGAGAATTAAACTGAGAGGTTGGTTTATCCCTGCTCTGAGTGTGGTGGGAAGGGACACACGGAGCACATTAACGGGTCAGAACTGTTCATGTTTAGCCCTTTGCCTTTAAGCTCTCCTTGGCCTTAGAGCTTCCAAAGCCAACACGTGAGGGAATGGCCTGTGCTGCCAATTTTGGACTTGGGGTGGGAGCAGCCGAGTGGGAGCCTCACACAAGCCATGGCATCACTGTCAGGGTCAGGCACTTAAAAATGGAACCAAAGAATTGCCAGGATTCTCCACTGTGGAACAGACTGCTTATCTGCTTCCTATGTTACAGCTGGATCTGATGGCAGATGACTCAGACACTTAAGGAGAGATTTTGATTCAGGAAATCTACCTTTTCCTCCTTTTTAGACCACAAACAAGCTGGTACTTAACGGGCTGCTGTTTTGCTATTGATGTACTGGTGTGATTCACGTAAAAGCTGTTTATTTACATCAGAGACGTTCATCAAAAGAAGATGTGACAAGTACAGCATCAATGATTCATTCCCATCGCTCTGCTCTGCTTTCCTGTTAATCAAGAAACGCTTAGACGCATCCAGCTGGGCTCTGCTTCCTTATCCCTTTCCATGTCATCTTCCTCCCCCAAGCCTGTCCAGCCTGGTGTCCCAGCTCTGCAGACACTCCTGCTGACTGATCCATGATCCTGCTGGGCGGTGGAAGTCATGAAGCTTGGTTTTCCATGGAGAAGGGGCTGCAGCTCTGCTGAACTCCCTGTGCAGGGTGTATTTTACCTGTGGGGAAGATGGAGAAACAGGCCTTCAGCCCTTGGGCTTGACTCCGAGGTGGCAGATCCTAAACTCCGGGGCCGCGCTTCCCCCATTAGGAATATTTGGTGTTGGAAATCTTCTTCCAGAGCAAGGTCTTGAGGTTGTTGAGCACGAGGGAGTGGTGCACCTCCATCTGGCTGGCCAGGCCGCTGAGGGTCGTGCAAGTTCGGAGCTGCTTCTGCAGCTCGTCCTTCAGCTCCAGCGGCGCCCCGTACAGCAAATAGTCCTGCAGCAACCCGCACACCTTGGCCAGGTTGGGCTGCACCATTTCACCCTTGCACTGCTTCAGGAGCTTGTCGCAGGCCGCCGTGCAGTCCCGCCCGTAGGTGCAGTCCACGTTCTGCTCACAGTGACGCCCCTTGAGGAACCCCCTGATTGTCGCCTCCGTCGCCACCTTCCTCAGGTCGACCATCTTGAAGTCGAACTTGTCGTTGTAGCCCACGTTCCTGAAGCCCGTCTCGCAGATGTAGAAGCTCCCGTAGGTGCCGTGGAAAATCTCCTCCACGAACTCCAGGAGGCCGATGGCGATCTTGGCGCGCCGGGGCCAGGCCGGCGCGAACCACTGGTGGAGGAGCTGGTGGGCGACGGAAGGCAGCAGCGACTGGAGGAAAGGGGGGACATCCAGCCCGTAGAGGGAGGTGTGGGGGATCTTCTCGGTGACGTAGAGGTCCCCACAGTGCCCCAGCAGCTTGGCAGTGTGCTCCTTCTCGTGCAGGGAGAACATGAGAAGGAACTCATTGAGCTGCAGCAGCGCCCAGATGGATTTGGCCTCGGCCAGAGACACTTTCCCGTCGCGGTTCACGTCGGCCATGGCGATGATCCGGCTCACCAGGGCCGGGAGGGATGGCTGATCTCCCAGCTTGGACTGCAAATGGGACAAGAGGTGGCATCAGACCCCCAGAGCTCTCTGTGTTTGGGCGTCATATCGCAAAACCCAACTGGGAGTGCAAAGACCTGAGCTGGGGAGAGGAGGAAACAGCCACCACACTCCAGAAGATCTGGTGCCACAACATTGTGTGGACGGATTCAGCTCCAGCAGAATGTTACCAGCCTCAGGGCTCCAGAGAGGAGCGTAGTTTTGGGAGCAAAGGCCAGGCACCACTGCTGCCTCAGAAGCCCCACAGAGGGGTAACTACCAGGGCCACCATGGGCTTGTGAATCAGCTCTGCCCAGCACAGATGCCACCCAGAGCCAAGGCACAGAGGCCTCCAGGGCTGCTGCTACTCAAATATCACAAATAAGAGTTCCTGGGAGAAAATGGAGGTTTTTCTCCACTAATCCAGTACGTGGCAGGGAGCACCCAGCCCAGCACCCAGCAGTGGGTGGGGGAGTGTGAGCCAGAGGAGATCTCGTTCAAGGGCAAGGAAAGACACAATCAGTCTTCCCAACTTGTAGGTGGCATCCTGGGCCTGTGGGATCCCACAAGACCCTTGCACTGACCTTGAGGAAGTTGAGGAGCATTTCTTTGAACTCGTCCATGGACGTCCCCCGCGTGGGTTTGTCGAAGAGCACCACGTCCCTCCTGGGCACAGAGTCGGGGCGGCTGTCTGCCCTCAGGGCTTCTCCAATGCCACATTTGATGATCACCTCCCTGTCCCTCCAGACCCCGCTGTAAACCTGCAGCACAGGGGAGGGGACAGGGCGAGGTGGGAGAGGAACAGCAAGTGCAAAAAAACCCCCCAAAGCTGGGTTCTGGTTTGGTTGAGGACGGGAACAGGGATGGGGTGAGGAGGAGATCTCCCGGGTTTTATGCCTGTACCCATCCTGTGCCATGTGGTGGAGGAGGCAGAGACCTACCTGCTGGGTGGGAGAGGAGGAGAGGCAGTGCTGGAAGAGGAGGCCACGCTCCTCACACAGGTCCTTGCACGTGGAGCCAGAAATGATTCCTTTCTTGTACTGGTCACACTGGGGAGGGGAAGGAGAAAGAGGAGCTCAGAAGGGGCAGCTTCACATTCACCTGAAGAAGTCTGACAGATCCAAGCTGATTCCTGCAGCTCATGGAGCACCCCAAGCACACAAGCTGGGGGTTTGTGACCCCTTCAGACACCCATGCCATGCCAGCACAGTGTGCAGATGGTTTTGGGTGATGTCTGCACCTTGGTGGCCATTTTGGCCACTTCAGGGGGCTGGGAGGGAGGGGAGCACCTTGTGCTCAGACCTTGATCAGGGAGATGTAGTGCCAGTTACTCAGTCCAGCCTCTTCCAGCACCCCCAAACTTCCTATTCCGTTTTCCAAAGATATCCCAGCCCAAAATGTCCTCTGCTCTAAGACCCAGAGAAGGGTCTGGCCCTTGGGGATGGCTCAGTGCCTTGGGCACAATGGGGCTGGGCTGGCAGGGACCCCCTGTGCTGCTGGAGGGACCGCAGGAGATTTGCTCCTGGATGCAAATCCAGGAGTTTGGGAGAGCTTCCAGGGCTGGAGGAGAGGACAGCGTGGATTTGAGGAGAATGAGGATGCAGAGGCTGAGGCTGCTCAGCAGAGCAGCAGCCCCTGCTGTGAGATGGGCTGGCCCTGGTCCAGGGGGTGGCAGGGACAGGGACAGACGGTGGCTCTGATCCTCTGGGTTGGGAGCTGGAGACATCCCTGGGCAGGAGAGGCTGCAGTGCTGCAGCTCCTCAGTGACAGCACAGCAGCCTCGGGGCTGGAAGCA